AGAATACATTTTCTGGTATCCAATATCAGGAGAGATCTTCAAGGGGCAGCTGAATTTCAGTGTGATGATGTACGGTGGAGGGAAAGGACTGTTAACTAAAAGAATGGACAAGAAGTTAACCAAAATGCATATTTCACTTACAGCACTTGTAATATATCATTTTCTGTCGAGAATATGAATACAATTGATGCATATAATATTTTGAAAAACATTTTGTTATGAGGGTGGGACAGGAAAGTGTGTGTGTGTGTTTTTTTTTCATTTATTTTATTTGCAAATTGCATAGAGTACAAAATTGCTTTCCTAATTACATTGTGATGACACATTTTTATGTTCTGCACAAGAGTTCCAGGGAGGCAGTCTGGCTGGACAGGACTTACAAACCAGAAACTGGGGTTTGCATTCCAGTACAGAGGACTACTATTATTAGCGGGGGCAATTACAACATTGTTCATCACACGGTGAAGTCAACATTCAGATGCTGGACTTAGCACTGTGTTACAGATCTATGAGTACGTGATCTGAAAGCACAGGGAGGTAAAATGAAATGGAGAGCTGCATGTGGAAGCTTAGAGGGAGCTCAGAGAGAAAGCCTCATGCTGGTGAAAAGGTCGTGTCTCAAAAAACAGCCAAGATATTAGACTCAGTTATGAGGCACATGTCTAGTCTAGACACTTTTCATTGTACAGGTTTTAATATTGGAGCCATAATTTTGAATATTTTATATACTTAATATTTACAGTTTTATATTTCTATATTTAGTTTTGCATTTAAAAAATATATATAAGAAAATTGGTACAAAGAATAGTCATGGTGCTGTTTTGCAGAAACAGCCAGAAATAGCCAGGTCAGAAGATCTCAGTAAAGGTCACTCTGTTAATGACAAAAGCAAATGTTTGGCTATATTGACAAGTGTTTATGCATATAATCCATTGACTAATGTGTTGCATTCTACTGTGCTGTGAAGGGTTTTAGTTTTCATGTGACACATAGTGAGACTCTTACACCGTATACCGAGCTAAATCTGCTCTCAAGTGCACACACACGACACTGATTTTTAGAGAGGAGAGTCACTCAACCTTATAATTTGCAGTTTTATGAAAAATATTAAGTGTTGGGAGTACTGTACTGCTGTTATGTCATAATTATTTTTACATTTTAAAATCACAAATGTAATGTTCAGGGAAAAGCCATGTTTTTAAAGAACTCTCATTCTGCCTAAAGCTGTTGTCTCTCTACCGGACACACACATTTGCTTGTATTTCAGCATTGCTGACTAGTAGAACCAGAAAAACCTCAGTGTTTGTCGAAAATGCTGAAAGGTCCAGCGTGTAGGATTTAGTGGCATGTAGCGGTAACCAATTGAACACCGCTCATGTCTATATTTGACAACCTGAGAATGAGAACAGGCTGTGAAATGGGTTAGGAGAAACTGCAAAGGCTGTGAAACTCGTGAAAAATGTGTCAGGCCCAATCTACAGCCAGTGTTTGGTTTGTTTCGTTCTGGGCTACTGTAGAAACAACATGACGGACTCTGTAGAGGAAGACCCGCTCCCTCTGCAGATAAAAGAAGGCAATGACAAAGACTTACTGTGTTTTGTCATTAAGGGACAGTTTAAGGTCCAAACTCTGATTTTACATCTCCCGATCATATTTAACAGTCAGCTGCTCTGGTCTTTAGAAAACAGTAGTGCATATTTAAACCTTTTACCAGATTAGAACCTCAATATAAGATGGGATACCCCAGAATTTGCCCAAACATATTGCGTTTTGCATTTTTGGCAAAAAAGCTGCAAGTGGGATATGGTTAGCAATGACAAGGATGTGCTGTGCTCTTCTCAGGCACTGCAAGTTCATGTGTGTTGGGGGAGTGGCTTTGGAGAGAGACCTGAAGGGAGGGGGTGGGATTTTATTAATTGAATACTTCCTCTTGACAGTTCAACTTTACCTACATTTGCTTTAAGGTTAGGCAACTATAACACACAGTTAGGGAATGATTATGTCTCAACCATGAACAGTGAATATGCTAAACCTCCCTCCACCTGGCATTCTCACCTATTTCCTGATACATAAACAGCACATTACTTCCCGTGTAATCGTGCAGATTTATCAAACATGGATGTAGGTTAATTCCTAGGGAGTGCATAAACATTAAATTCACTGATGTCTTTATTACCTAGATGTGCTAAATCAAAGGAAACTGGATGAGCAATCTCCAAGTCCTCTTGCTTATGATTTTTTTAGCACTTTATCTCGTGACCTGCATGGCTTAATCTTCCCAGACATTTTTATTATGCAACTTTACCTGTATGCTGGAAGCTATCAACCAATTAAATTAAATGAAATTGAACTTAACAGCCTACATTATTTTTGTTGTACTTTGCACATGAGCTGATTGATTCCTTTGTCATATCTTGAGGTCAACACATAGGAGATATCACAGGCATCAACAGGTATGAGCTATACATGTTTCTCTTTCTATAGGTTCTCTCTCTCTCTCTCTCTCTCTCTCTGTCTCCCACCTGAATGTTTCAAATTTTTCCCCATGAATAAACGCATCGACCCGTGGGTGGCAGGTGTGAAATGTCAGAATGACAAAGCCAATGATCTGGTCAGTTTGGCTCGTCTGATGCCTTTCACCGGGTTGCTGCAGCACGTGGACGGAGGAGCGGATGCGCGCCTCTGATTGGCCAGGCACGCGGCTCCCAGCAGGAGGACTGCGCTCGCTACTTGTCATTACTGTTGCTCCGATTCACAAGCCCATGAACACCGCTGGGCTCAGTGTGTCCATCTCCTCTCGGACTTGGAATTAATCGCTCATTATTTAAAGCGACGGCTCGCACCATGGATGCTACCATTTATCAGATCATATTTGGGGAGCTCGGGGACTTAAACTGTAGTTTGATAGACGCTTTCCAAGACACTTTTTTGGAAAACGCGTCCTTGTCATTGTTGAGCACTGATGGTAAGATGTTTCCTTTTTTTGTGTTGAATATTGATAGGTGTTGCGTGTTGAATGAGGGAAACTATAAGCGTCAGATTTTTTTTGTTGTCTACTTTATTTTTTATCCCCCCAAGGTTTTTATTGCAATGCCACAACAGATGAGATTGGAACCTGCTGGCCGCGGAGCAGCACTGGGAGGATTGTAGAGAGACCCTGCCCTGAGTACATCAACGGGGTGAAGTACAACACAACGAGTAAGATATTTAGCTGTCATGGCAAAAGTTCTTTGTCGTGCATTTATTTGAATGTATTTAATTTCTACAGAATTGTTTGTTAATCATGAAAAATGCACAGCAGCCTACAGGGAAATGGTAAAAAAAAAAAAGTAAAATATTATAGCCTAGTGTAAGCAAACATATTCAGCAAACAAGTCATATAACTTCATGTGTTTTAGTGCAGTGTAGAATAACCATTTGGTTGTGATGGAAAGCAGTGGTGACAGTGAATCTCAATGATCATTACACCCCCTGTCACTGGAACAGCTGCATCAGAATGTGCCTGTGTGATGATCACGGAATGTTAAAGGACAAATCCCAACTTCAGTATCATTGAAATGCGGATGTATTATGCATTTCTTGGCCTGTTCTGCTGATTGGTTTTTATTGCACCATCAGATACTTGGTCAAACTTGCACAATGTGACATCATACTGACATATTTGTATTTTTAGGTATAGTTTTACAGAGTAAGACATGTTGAAAATGCATTTGCAATAATGATCAACAATCATAAACAAAAAATAATTCCATCACAAAATAGAAATCAATCACAGGCAGATAAACAGATTTACTCCTGGACAAAAGCTTCATTGCAGATCAGCCAGGCAGCACCATTGTGTGGCCACCCAAATGTGGTAGGCTACAGAATTGAGTTCATGAGGTCTCCTCCAATCACATATGTTTTGCTTATTCTAGCCCACAACATTTTCAAAATGTATGGAACTGCAGCCTCACCATAACCACATCTGTCATCAGCCTGTTAGTAGTGATTGTGACCCGATGAAGCTCCGACTGGGCTCGGAACGTTGTGGTTTGGAGGGAATGTGCAGCTGTTTTCTCTTTTCATCAGCTTCACCTTGACTTGACTTGTCTTAACATCAAGTTGCAGTCAAAGTCACTGGCACTCTCTGTAATTGTCAACAATAATACAATTTTGAACTTGCTCTTGATTACTACAATAAGCTGAAGGGGATGTTTTTTATTTTATTTTATCTGCTGGCTTGAAAGGCTGAGTAATTCCAAAGCCAAACTGTACCAAGAGCTGAGAACAGCATATCACAACTCTCTGTCACACCAACACTGTCACATTATGTAACTCCTGTATTAATCATAAGACTGATGAAGTTGTTGTTGACACGCTCAAAAAAGTACATTGCAGTGTTCATTTCACAAAATAACAGCAGAAAAAAACTTGTGTGATGCATCATGGCGTATGGGTTCAGGGTGGCGGTGTAAAAGTGTCAGAGGCCTGATTTTTCATTTAACACAGCTGTTATCTTCGTAACAGGCTCAGGTGTAGTGTCATTACCCACTAACCCCTCCATCACACACATTCTCTCTCACACACACACACCCTGCTGTCTGCCTAGTCACCTCTTGCTGCATTGATTCACCCTTTGCTCTGCTGGTGTCTTCGTATCAGTTGGACCGACATGGTGGTTTGATCCACTCGGAATAAAATGTGCAGTTATTTGCCACGAGAACAGACTCGGCACTATGGGCAAGCATTTAGCGGCCAGGCCTGCCCTGGATGACCTCTGTGCCCCCCTGTAGTCCACAGTAATCCAATATTTTCAAATTTAAAAACGTTTAGAAAAGGTTCTGGCACAATATGATTGGCCAGAACCAGTATGTATGTAAGGCTGTAACTGCACAAGCATGAGGGTGACATAATTTAGCCTTTTGCTTAACTGATTTAGATTGGGCATGTTTTGTTTGTTTTAAGCTGATTTGTGCAGATACATAGCTGTGTTTATGAAAGCCTGTTAATTGTCAAAATTGCTGCACTTCTTATGATCTTGCAGAAACAAGGTAGCACAGAAATGAAAACTGCCAAAATGTTACCTGGCTGTTCCTTTTTTTTTGATTTTATAACATATATATTTGTAAGGCTGTAGGCTACAGGTAACACATGTAGTAGGCCTATAGATTTGATAGCGTCATTCAGAGTTGCAATAATCCACTGAGTCTGCATGACAGTACATTTCCTGACGTTAACCTTCATTTGTTGATGCCCTTGTGGATTAGTGTAATATTTCTGAAAAGCTGAGGATTAGATATTGTGTTGAGACTGCAATGATTGAATATTTCCATAAAACTGATCTTCTGATCAAACAATAGGCCTGTCAAATGCACTGGAGTATAACAGCATTCTGTGTTTGCTGGAGGGGACATAATTGCGCTACTCTTTTTGCCCCTGCTGTTTTTACAGGTTAGACGACTCAATTGGGTACGAGAATCAAAAAGGAAATGAACCCCCTTGGGAAAAATAAGCCACACTATTAAACAGATTGCAGTTCAGAAGTGGAATGAAACAGGTGGGAGATTTTTTTCTTACTGATTCCTGTAAGATAATTACAGGATTATCAGTCTTTCTGACAGCAGATTGTAAAGGTTTTATTCTTGCACTGTCAACAATATTATAAATAAGTTTCAATTTACTTTTACACAGCATGGACTATAGATTAGTGTTAGTTTGTCACATACAGGTGTGTTCTAATGTGTATGACACTGCTTGTGAACAAATCCTTTTATGTTTATTTTCCACATTATGGTAGTGGTTTTAGTGAAGAAACAGTATGGGGGAGTTTTACAGTTTTTCCACTCTAAAGTCATAGAGCAGAAAATATTGTACAACTTGTTTCACACACTGACTGCAGTGTCTTGGGAGCTGTTTTCCACCTCAAGTTTTACTGTGGCAGAGTCACACCGGAATTTTAATAAGCTGATGGGAATTTGTTGTATGGAGCTCTTTAAGGCACTTCATGTGATCATGTGAAAGAGAAGTCTCTGTAGATTATGGCAGCAATGCATAAGACCGCAGCATGATGTGTTTAAACATTGCATGCTTAGCCTTAACATGCACTTTTTGTGAATCAAAAGAAGAATTAATTGTGCCAAGTGTTCTGCAAGCTATAGGGCAATTAAAGCTGCAGTGGGTAACTTTCTCATATTTGCTAAAACGTTCACTATCCTGACAGTAGTACATAATATTGCTATTTGACCCAAAACACTGGTATTTGACAACCTGGGAATGAGACTCAATAATCAACTATCTTTCTTGGCTCTGATTGGTTGCTTTTGTTCAGGTTGCCATTGCCATTAGGAACACTAGGACAAGCCAGAAGAACCGGATTTTATTCACAGATTATGTACCACTCTCAGGATATAGTGAATGTTTCAGCAAATATGACAAAAAGGTATTCCTTATAAAAATGTGTTTACATTTGTTTATTTGGTATTTTACTTTTACTACTTTTTCTTTTTCATACATCACATTTGGAAAGAAAATAGTCCTGATCCTTTGGCTTGTCACTGAGCATTTACAGGTATAGGGATAATGACTGAATGAAAGTCAGTCTGATGTAGGTACTGAGAGAGGACATGGGGTAGTTCATAGGAATAGTTAGACATTTTGGGAAAAAATATTTGATCGACTTACTTACTTAGGTCAATATTTAATGATGGCTACCGTATGTGTGTTAAATGTTATATATAGTTTTCTTTCATATAATGTATCTTGCAGTGTCACATTGCACTGTAAGATCATGTTGACATTTGACCACGTCTTTAAGCACTGTGATACATATGGTGTCAGATCTCCACATGCTCGAGTTATGGACAAAACACAGTGTACAAAATACTATTTGATTTATTTTTGCCAAAGAAAAAATATTTTCCATATTATTTTTTAGGACATTCAGTCTGTTAAATTCATTCTATTAGGGTGAATCTATTAGAGCAAGTAGAGCGATTTATTGACTAGGTACTGGTTAAACACAGCAGGGAAGCCTTTATACAACCCCTAATTGCATAATTGATACTGAAGTCACAGGATGCTGCATGTTTTTACACAAAGTGACATGGGTGGAGGTGATTATCTTGATCCTGCTGGGTCACATTAACTGTACCCATTGGCAGCCACAGATAAATAAAAATTTTAAATAAAAAAAAATAGGTCAGACTAAGAATAGAAGTAGGCCTAACATCACATGAGCAGGTGTTAATTAACACAGTGCTTAACACACAGTCTAAAATAAGGTAGAAAATTGATTTGGCACAAAGCACTTTGTTTTGCAAACTAAAGCCTCACTGTATGCGTACGTCTTTCAATTTGGCCACATACAGTATCTGACCCATGGGACTAACAATAGATTATCTTCCCTTTGCTTCCCTGGAATGTTTCAGAGCTAAACATTTAATGATACAGGCCTGCATATTAGAAAAGCATGACCCAGGATGCGCTACTGTTATATTTTAAGGACATGCCTTTGTGCCTTGAACTCCCAGTTGTTGGATCAGTGAAGGATATAGATGCAGTATCTTGTGTGTAACCTCATAGGTTTTTTTTTTGTAGTAGTTAAAAAAACTAACGGCTAAGTAAGATAAATGTCAGCAAAATGTTGCAATTCTACAAAATCAGAGGTTTCACAGACTTAACAGGCCCGCTCAGGTAAGGGGCTATAAATTCCTTTCCATTTCTTCAAGCATATATAAATATTAATGTCTGTGCAGAGTGGCTTAAGAGGTTTATGCATTTTTAAACCTTCCTGTGTCCCGTTGTCGTTTTATTTTTTTATTTTTTTGGTGCGTTTATTCAGTTCTCTGGTTTACATGAAATGCACATCACCACAGTTGGGCCAGAGACATGTGTCTTAAAGTCATTCATTGTCTCTGCTTTGTCACTAGTATGTGATCTGCTTTCTGTCAAGCCTCAGGCAAGACAAGATGTTCACAGCAGTAGAGATGAATGGTATCAACATCGGAGTGTTAGTTTTTCAAATTCAAGCTATATCTTGGTGACTTTCTCTGTTCAGACTCTGTAACTGTAATTATTCAGTGAATCGCGTTTCCTCCTTTGGTAACCTCACCTAATCCCTGTGTGTCTCTGTTCATTGTCACTGAGACTTCCTGTCAGCACATCATGTACTTTTCTAGTCAACGCAGCTCAAAGACAGGATCAGTTTTTCTACAATA